GGTTCATTTCCTTGGTTCTTAGAGACATTAACCTTTTATCCCCTTCAAAAATAAGCTAGTTAGGGGACCAGCAGGTGGCATGGTGGTTAAGGTGCTGACACTCCCACATAGCCGACCACGGTCCGAGGCCCGGATCCGGTAGCTTGTTGTCTCGCTTTCCATAAAAAATAATAATAATTAGCTAGTTAAGAGACCAGCAGTTGGTATAATGGCTATGTCACTAGACTCCCATGTGGTCCACCATGGTTCGAGGCCCAGACCCAGTGGCTTAAACTCACGCCGGGCGCATGTATGTATGTGCCCAAGATCCCGAGAGGAGAAGGGATTGCGGCGTGGCCGTCCCCCCCGGGGGGTGATTTCTCATGTTCTGTCTCTCTGTCTCTCTCTGTTTTTCTGATGAGCACACGTGCCCTATACCAAAAAACTCTCAATAATAATAATAATAATAATAAGCTAGTTAATGTTTCGTGGAGAGGAAGGCCTGACTGTCTCACCACATAACCTTGCTGAGCCTCAATTTCTTCATCTACAAGATGGAGTGATGGCAGTGACTGTGAATTCAAGGGATTAGGTGAGATAAGGTATGGAAAATCTGTTTTTAGAAAAACTGTATTCTGGGTCCAGCAGGGGCGGCAGTTAGGGGCGCTGGACTCCCACATGGCCAACTGCGGTTCAAGTCCTAGACCTGGTGCCTTGCTTTCTCACTTTCCCTCTGTCTCACTTGCTTTCTGGCCAAATTAAAATAAATAAATATATGAAGTTAAATAAAATAATTCTTAAAAAAATAATAACTGTACAGTGCATGTATTCATTAAAATTATCCCACTAAGCCTTCAATTTACCTAGTTAGTAGAAAACAGTGTTTTTTGGTTTGTTTTTTGCTATAGGGCACGTGTGCTAGCCAGAAAGGCAGAGAGAGACAGAGGGACAGAAAGCGAGAAATCACCCCCCAGGGGGGATGGCCATGCCGCAATCCCTTCTCCTCCATTCTCCTCTCGGGATCTTGGGCACGCACACACGCCCGCGCACACGCGCCCAGCGTGAGTTTAAGCCATCGGGTCCAGGACTCGAACCGCGGTCGCCTACATGAGAATCCAGCAACATAGCTATTATGCCAACTGTTGGTCCCAGTCTTATGAAAAACCTCCCTCATTAACTCCTGAGAGAGTCATTGTTCAACATTGTGGGGAGAAGGAAGCTCAGCAGGACGAGGACGCCGCCTCCCGGGTGTGCAGACCCGAAGTCTGCTTTGGGAGAAGAGCCGCGCTCCCCGAGGGGCAGGGACTCGCCTAGCCTTAACCAACCATCCGAGATGCCAGGTGCCAGAATCGGACCCCCGCACCTGGCAGGTAGACGAGCCAGAAGCCATCAAAGACCCTCAGGAAGTTTCCTCTTGATTTTCTCCATGGCTGAAAACAAAAGAAAACAAAACAAAACAAAAAAAACAAAAACCTACCATCGCCGCTCCTCATTGGTTAGCGCCCCCTCTTGTGGCCATGCCCTGCCATAGCACCTGCAGTTGGCAAACTGCAAAATTGTGTGTGACACGTGATTTTTTTTTTTCCGTTTGGAGAGATTTTTCACTGTAGGGCGCGTGCGCTCGCCAGACAGACAGAAAGAGACATAGAGACAGAAAGCGAGAAATCACCCCCCAGGGGCGATGGTCACGCCGCAATCCCTTCTCCTCCATTCTCCTCTCGGGATCTTGGGCACGCACGCACACGCGCCCGGCGTGAGTTTTAAGCCACCGGGTCCGAGACGCGAACCACGGTCGACTACGTGGGAATCCAGCGACATAGCCATTACGCTAACTGCTGGTTCCCTGTGACACGTGATTTAATCCCTTTTTTTTTTTTTTTTAAATTGCGGACTATAATACACAGAAAAGTATCCAGGATGTACACACATTTTTAAAAAAACTTTATTGATTGATTGATTTGATTTGTCCAGAGAGGGATAGAGGGAGAAGGAGAGTTGCTGCCAGGTCTGGAAGTCCAGCTCCCTTAACCACCAGCCACCTTCTTGCCGGCCTCCTGTACATACATCTTTTTTTTTTTTGGGGGGGGGAGAGATTTTCACTATAGGGCACGTGCGCTCGCCAGACAGACAGAGAGAGACAGAGAGACAGAAAGCGAGAAATCAGTTTTACGCCACGGGGTCCGGGACCCGAACCGCGGTCAACTACGTGGGAGTCCAGCGACATAGCCATTACGCTAACTGCTGGTTCCCTGTACATACATCTTAAAACACAGTTTTAGAGGGACCAGCAGTTAGCGTAGTGGCTATGTCGCTGGACTCCCACGTAGTTGACCGCGGTTCGGGTCCCGGACCCGGTGGCTTAAAACTCACGCCTGGTGCGTGTGCGTGCGTGCCCAAGATCCCGAGAGGAGAATGGAGGAGAAGGGATTGCGGCGTGACCATCACCCCTGGGGGGTGATGTCTCGCTTTCTGTCTCTCTGTCTCTCTCTGTCTGTCTGGCGAGCACAGGCACCCTATAGCAAAAACCTCTCAAAAAAAAAAAAAAGAAAAGAAAAGAAGTCTCGAGTTCCTAGAGCAGACAGTAGATTCATGATAGCCAGGCGCGAGGGGCAGCGGCAATGAAAACAGGCCGCCATGGGGGTTTTCTGGCAGTGGTGCCACATTCTAGACCTGGACCGTGACCGTCGTACCACTCCGTGAATACACCAACACCTGCATTGTCTGAGGGGCTTCGAAAAGTGCCAGGAAACGGGCCAGCAACTGGCATGGTGGTTAAGGTGCTGGACTCCCACATGGCTGACCATGGTTCGAGTCCTGGACCTGGTGGCTTGCTTTCTCACTTTGTCTCTCTCTTTCTCTCTCTCTCTCTCTGGTGAGCACACATGTTCTATAGCAATTAGATAATAATAATAGATTAAATTAAAATTTTAAAAGTTTCAGGAAAATGGAATTAAAGTTTGAGTTTATTTTGGGGGAAAAACATTGAAATCCATGCATAGTTTTTTCATAGTATGCATTTTCCATGAACTTTTATTTTTAAATGCTTTTGCTATAGTGTGCGCACTTGCCAGAGAGAGACAGTAAGCAAGGAAAAGTGAGAAATCATCCTTCGGGGGGCTGGCTACACTGCAATCCCTTCTCCTTCCTTCTTCTGGGACTTGGGGCACCTGTGCAGCATGCACCCAGTGTGAGTTTCACTGTGTCAGATTCTGGACTTGAATCATAGTGGGCTGTGAGAGTCCAGCACCTCCGCCACCTGCTGGGCTCTCCATGAACTTTTTGAAGACACCCCTAGTATACTTTAGATTAATAAATCGTATGGTACAGGGGGTGCGTATGCTCGCCAGAGAGACAGAGCAAGAGTGAAAAAGCACCCCCTTCAGGAGTCATGCCAGAATCCCTACTCCTCCATTTCTCCCTCCTTTTGGGATATGGGCACACACACAGAGGTGCCTGGTATGTTTTTCAAACTGCTGGGTCCTGGACTCAAACCACGCAGTTGCTCACGTGTCATCAAGTTGCCTTGACCACTATGTTACAGGGCGGACCTATGTTAGTTTATTTATTTATTTTTTAAGTTATTTATTTATTTCTTCCAAGATCAAGAGTGAGAGATGGGAGCAGCAGATGGCGTAATGGCTCTGTTGCTGGCCTCCCACGTAGTCGACCGCGGTTTGAGTCCCAGACCCGCTGGCTTACAGCTCCCGATCTATTTCACTCTAAATCTGTGCAATCGAAATCTTGACAGTAAGGAGCTTCACATTTATCTCCTTTAATATATATTTTTAAATGATTTATTTCACTTTATTGATTCATTCACTTATTTAACTTGACTAGAGAGAGACACAGAGAGAGAGAGAGAGAAAGTGAGAAAGCGAGCCGCCATGTCCAGGACTTGAACAGTGGTCGGCCATGTGGGAGTATCCAGAGCCTTAACCACCACGCCACCTGCTGGTCCCCCTCCTTTTATATTCCATCCACCCTGACAAAGGAGATCCCAAATGTGTTCCTTTTTTTTAGACAGATTTTTCCTATAGGGCACATGCACTTGCCAGAGAGAAAGCAAGCAAGAAATCACTCCTGGGGGGGGATGGCCATGTCACTGTCCCTTCCCCTCCAGTCTCCTCTAGGATATTGGGCACACATGTACACGTGCTTGGTATGAGTTTCAAGCCGCAGGGTCCAGGATTCAAGCAGCAATGAACCATATAGGAGTCCAGCGCCTTAACCACCACACCACCTGTGGCCTTCCCCTTTAAGGGTTTTGCCTTAGGGTACATGTGTTTGTGGGAGGGGAGGGGAGGGGAGGGGAGGGAGGAGAGACAGTGCAAAGGAAAGTGAGAAATTGTCCCCTAGGGGATATGGCCTCTCTGCAATCCCTTGACCTCCATTCTCCTCTTGGGAATTTGGGCACGCATTCACACACATGTGGCGTGAATAATTTTTTTTTTTTTTTTGGAGAGATTTTCGCTATAGGGCGCGTGCGCTCGCCAGACAGACAGAGAGAGACATAGAGACAGAAAGCGAGAAATCACCCCCCAGGGGGGATGGTCACGCCGCAATCCCTTCTCCTCCATTCTCCTCTCGGGATCTTGGGCACGCACGCACACGCGCCCAGCGTGAGTTTTAAGCCACCGGGTCCGGGACACGAACCGCAGTCGACTACGTGGGAGTCCAGCGACATAGCCATTACGCTAACTGCTGGTTCCCAACGTGAATAATTTTTTTTAAAGAGATTTTTGCTAGAAAGCACCTGGGCTTGTCAGAGAGACAGAGACAGAAAATGAGAAATCATCCCCCAGGAGGGACGGCCACTCGCCATCCCTTCTCCTCCAGTCTCTTCTTGGGATTGTGGGCACGCACGCACACACGCCCAGCGTGAGTTTCAAGCTGCAAGGTCCAACAGTCAACCATGTGCAATCCCGTGCCTTAACCACCATGCCACCTGCTGGCCCTGGCCAAATGGCTTCTTCTGTTAGGAAACCTAGAGGAACATGTAGGCGACTCTTTAGAACAGGGAAGAGAACTTTTATTGGATTCCTGACCGCTCAGAGCAGCAGGACGCCTCTGGGTGGTGAGCTGAGGGCAGGCGCCCCTGCTGTGGCTGTGCCCTCCCCATCCGGCTCAGCTCTGTCGGTTCACCTGGGGAAGCTGCCCCTGCTGACTCCCACCTCGGGACAGTGGGCTGTCTGTCTGTCTGTCCCGGGATGGCTCTGTAGAGCCCCAAGTCCAGCAGGATGACCTGGGATGTGAGGGACTGCAGCTGGCAGGACCAGGGGCGTCCTGGGAGCAGGGGTGTCCCGGCTCCTCCTGACAGTCCAGCTGTCCTGAAGGACTAGGGCCCAGTCCCGCCCTACCGAGACTGCCAACCTGGCCCTGGACTGCAGGCCAGTGCTGCCTGGATGGTACCCCACCAGGCTGGTGCCACGTCAGGACCACACAGCAGGAAGTGCTGTCTTCATTGCTGTGGCTTGGCCTCTGTGTACCTTCCAGACATCGCGGTCCTCGTGGGCTCAGGGACGCCGCTGGGGTCCCACTGAGGCCTGCCTGGCACTGGCCTCAGTCGGTCCTCCGGAACCCTGCAAGGCAAAGTTCGCAGAATGGCGTGGGAAGCCAAAGGCAGCCAGGCCTCGTCCCCACCCTCGCCCCAGACCCTGCAGCACCCCTCACTGCTGGCACAATGCAGTCACTCCAGAAGCCAGGAGTCCCCATGACCCCCGGTCATAGTTACTAACTTCCTCTTCATTCAAAGGTGGATTAAAGGAGACAGATCTCTCCGCAGGGCTGGGACACACAGCCGCCTGGCCTCCCTGTTCTGTGGGGTAATGGGGCGCACAGAGCTGATGGGCTAGAAAGAGAAGCTACTGCAGCCCAGCCCAGCCACTTGTGCTGTGTGACTCTGGGCAAGTCGCTCCACCTCTCTGATCATCAGTCAAGAGTAAGATGACCAAAGCCCACCTGTCCCATGGCTATCAGGCAAATGTAACCACAGAAAAGACAGTGTCTAGGGAGGCAGGGAGTTCCACGAGCCACAGGGGCTAGGCAGCATCCACGGGCTTCTCACCAGTGTTCATGCCGATGGCCTTTAGCACTCATTCGTCATGTGGTTTTCCTTTCTTTTTAAAAATTAAACTAATCTGGGACCAGCAGGTGGCGTAGTGATTAAGGTGCTGGACACTCCCATGTGGCCAACCATGGTTCAAGTCCTAGACCTGGTGGCTTGCTTTCTCACTTTCCCTCTTTCTCTCTCTCTGTGTCTCTCTGGTCAAATGAAAATAATATGAATGAATAAATAATATTAAATAAATAACTTTAAAAAATTAAACAAAATTTTTGGTTGCTATAAAGGCATGTAAACTCACCAGAGATTGGAAGAGAGAAGGAAAGGGAGAAATCACCCCCAAGGGGATGGCCACGCCACAATCCCTTCTCCTCCTTTCTCTCGAGAGTTTGGGCACAGATGCACATGTGCCCTGAGTGCTTGCCAAGCCTCTGGGTCTAGGATTTAAACCTCACAGCCAGCCATGTGGGATCCAGCCTCCACAACCACCACGCCCTGGGCTGGGCCCTTCGCTTGATTTTCACAATGACGTCCTTGTGCAGTAGGAAACATGACACCCATGTTCCACTAGGGGAAACAGGCTAAGAGAGGCCGCAGGGCCCATGTCAGACCGCGGACTGGTAAACTGGCAGAGGTAAGACTCGAACCCAAGCCCCCCATCTCCAGGCTCTGTGCCCTTTTCTGTATGCTAAGCCTCTTTGGAGACAGGAGGCCCCCCCCATAGGGAAGTGGGAGAACGCAGGAAGAGTGTGGAGGTTACCCATCAGCCTCAGCTTCTGGAAGAGGGGGATGAAGCCTTGCAGCACGCTGTGGATCCGGTAGACTGCTCAGAACAGAGAGGGGAGTTAGGTCTGCGGGTGCAGGCTCCGCTCCCGCCCCGCCCCGAGTCTGGGCAGGCCCTGCCCACACGGGCAGACCCCGCCCACACGGACAGAGCCCGCCCACACAGAGCCCGCCCACACAGACAGAG